AATAGATTGGAGGCTATGTAGATCAAATTGGCTGAAGTAGAGCATGTTTCTAGTATTTTTGCCTTTTCTTACTACTATCATCGTAATAAGCCTGATTACTATGGTTTTGAAATTTCTGGTTTGTCATCGCAGGCAGAAACTGAAAGATCACAGCTCAAGCGACAAAAGCAGCGACTGCAATCTCAGTTTATACATGTTTGAAGTTTGTTGGTTTTTTCATCAGACAGTCTAATGAAGGTCTTGTATTTGGCTTTTGTTCACTCAAACTGGGGCATCACATTTTTTTGAGTCTTAAATCCCTTCTTTTTTTCTTTTCTTTTGGCTTGGGATATTTATGGGTCTACGACTTTATAAAGTTTATCCCCTGTTTCTCATGTCCAGAAGAATTTGGTAAAATCTGATAAAAAAATGTCTGTAAGTTTTGGAGGTATTCAAATATAATTTCTTCAGAATTCGGCCGAGGATTGTTGACCTAAATTTCTTCAAAGCTTTATCTGAGCGATTGTTCTGTTTTCTTTGTGCATGTTTACATTAACAATTGATTCGATTTGAGATTTATCATTCATCATTGTTCCTCGCGATCATGCGGTGAATAAACCATTGGTTCATTCATGCTAGCCAGATGAGTTCCATCGAGTTGTCCTCAGTCATAGAGTTGTCTTTTTTCGACATGTTAGCTTGAAAATGGTGCTTGAAAGGCTTCTAAAACTGCTCGAGCTTTACTTCGCATAAGAAACTGAAAGTGATTCACTCACCTCGTGACCGTGTCGTCGTCTTGAACAACTGCAGACCCGCGAGGACGGCTACAATGAAATCCTGGCGCGTCAAGAGACCCCACAAAACTTGCGCGAGGACTCTGAGGAGGTAGGCGGCGGCCAGCAGCTTCCCTTGATGGCGGCGTTGGGCGAATAATCTCAGTGGTGCTAATGGCGGATGGCAGAGGATCCACACCAGCAGAGCCGAGGCGAAGAGAGTCATGTAGGCAGTGAACAATCACCAGGGGTCTGCATACGAAGCAGTAAAGGTAAGCAGAGAACGCAGTGGCTGTTCACCGCCTACATGACTCTCTACGCCTTGGCTCTGAGGAAGCCCGATCGTAGTGGCTCAGCTTTGATCCCCTTCTGGCTCCGGAGGCTGGCGGTGGCGGCCTACAGTGCAGATCACCGAGGAGATACCGCTAGGAGCAGCTTATAAATGAGAGCCAGGATGACGAGGAAAGGAAACCTACCGCCGTTTCGGTTTCGGATCGCTTTCACCTCGTGAAAAGGTCACCGGCTCCCACTCAACTCTCCGCCACGTGGGCGGCCACTGAGTAATGGCTGACCGGCCCTAGAGTCGGCCCCCGTTACGGCTCACTCCGGTGACTTCACTATCAACCTTTCGCAAAATAAAATAAGTTGAGTCCGGATCCAAATTTTTCCAATTCTGTAGGGGATTAATAAAAAATATAGAAATACTTGTTAAAAGCCAGAGTAACTGGGCTTTAACGACAGGCTTAGCCGTTGTAATAAATTATATTTAAATGCGCGCTGCAATAATCAGTCAACCACATTTTGCGCCATAGGAGGCCGGTTCTATGTTAATAATGGGCCTATCAATTTGGGCGTGGCGGCTCTCGGGTGTGTAAGACGTCCGCAAGGGCCAAACCCCGGCCTCTGGGAGCCCAAAGACAGCAAGCAACCCAACCAAGTGGGCCTTCTTTGGGCCCAACCCATTTGATTCTTGCCGGCCAATATGAAATTTATAGAGGGAGAGACGATGAATGAGCAGCAGAGAAAATGGGCCTTGGGCTAGCCTAGTGGGTGTCTCTTGAGCTTTGGGCCTTAAGGACCTCCAGGGACTCTGCAAAGGGCATACTCTCTCTTCTCTGACTTTCTTATTCTGGGCCATGTTGGGCTTTTCAGGCTATTCCGGCCCATTTAAATCTTTTGATTATGTCCCACCAGTAGTAAATCTAAACAATGTGCATTAATATATATTATATACAAAACACAAATTATAACCGTTTTGAACATAATGTACATAGGAAGGAGTAAACTAGGCCTAAGATTTTGCACACGGCGATTTGTACACAGCTAGACGGATCCTTGAAATGGCTAATCCTGACAGGCCCAAAATCTTTCTTCCAGTCACATGACCATGCCTTAATCTCTCTCTCTCTCTCTCTCTCTCTCTCCCCCTCCCACATTGTTAAAGCAGGTAGATGCGACATGGTGTTTAGCGCCGCGTTCTGTTTGAAAATTATTATCAGCGGTCGGTCTTTCCTGACCCCAGTAAATGTTTCCGAGTATTTTACCGTCCTCAAGGACTACATGTGGTCGATAGTTCCTTCAGCGGTGAGTTGGGATGCAGAATCGTCGTCTCCCTCAACAACTGCAAGCCCGCGGGAGCCGCTGCCCCGAGAATTTGCTTACCCGGGTGGCGTTGGGCGAATCTCGGGGTTGATGATGGATTCGAGAGGGTCGACACCAGTAGAGCTAGGGCGTAGAGAGTGATGTAGCCCGTGAACAGCCTGCGGGGGGCTCCGAGGTGTGGGTCTGACCCCAAAGTCCCTGCAGCGATCAGAAACGTCGTCATGGTGCCGGAATTCAGCTCGAGGTGTCGAGTATCTTCCCCCCCCCACCCCCCACCCCCCCCCGGCGGAGGGTCCCCGAGGGAGAGAGAGGGAGGGAGAAAGGGAGAGAGGGAGGCAGGAGAATGAGCACGATGATTACCTTCCATAGGTTCCGCAGCTGTATACCATCACAACAGAATGAAAGAGAGAGAGAGATGAACTGGTAGCGGGGTGGGGAAATTTATCTTGACGGAGGAGGGCCACGTCGAATGATATTCATAGCGGGGAAGCGTGGTGGAGCGTGGAGGGAACCAGCAAAGGAAGCTTCCTTGGTCCGCTAGTCATGCGCCACTGACATTAGGCCCAAAGAATTAAGTCCATGGCCAAGTGGCGGGAGTCGGCGGCGCTCCTTACGATTCATTGAGATGGGGAGAGTAACAGACCACTGCACACGTAGGTTTATCGAAAAAAGAATCTCAATCAATCAAAATACACTCAGAGTCTCAAAGAAAAAACGAGTGGGCAAGTCTCAAGTCAACCGGACGATTAATAAGAAGCTTTCAAGATCATCCTCCGTTTGTTTAATGCGACCAACGGCGAGGGTTGCTTTTCGTACGAAATACTCTGTCAAACCATTGCCCAAATTGGTTGTTGTTCCTGCTCTTGATCGTTCATGGGCACTTCTCTGAGATCCTATTCAATAAATTAGTCCTGAAAAAGGAAGTAAATGGCCAACAAGGTACTGTTCTTCTCGCAAGCATGTTCCTGCTTGAGTTACTATCTGAGGAAGGAAAAGCACTCTTCTTCTCTTAGGTACAGGTAGGGAGCACTGAGGATTCTTCCTCGCCTTCCTTACAAATTCCTTGACCATGACCTTGACCATGGTTCTGTTACAGATGTTACAGATGCTGCACAAGTTAAAAGACTGAAAATTGAGGAACCCTGCTTTTTCCCCTGTTTCAGGACTTGTCTACTGCTCCCGGAATGATTATAAATCAACAAGAGAAAAAGCTATAAACTAGAAAAGAATCCAATGATGACGTGAGATTCAGCCTATTTGTTCAGAAAAATTCACAGTAGACTGACGGATGGTTGTCTTAATCAGGTTAGAAGAGCAGAGTGTTTTTGAATTTTTCCCCTAACCCGAAACTTGTATTATCAGGAATGTTAAGATACTGTCATTGTTATTGTTTTCATATGGAATGTTTTCCTACTATTTATATATATCCATTAGGAATGTAGGCTTTAGAAAAAGCATATTAACAGCGAGATTAGGAAATATGGTATTCAAGAAGCTTATTTAGGATAATAAAAAATGCTTTTCTAAATGATATGTGCATCAAAGAAATAACTAAAGGATTTAATTGAAAATGTCGTTTACAATAATCTCTTTACATAGTTTATGACGAGGTTTCCTGGGGATATATATATATATATATATATATATATCAGCCAAAACTGCTGGCGAGATCGTGACACTGCTGCTCTCTTCATTCTCAAGCATGTTTATGGCAGCATTCCTGAAGACCCGAAGAAACAAGGCCGGAAAACAATGAAGAGATTTCGAAGCAAAGTAGAACAGCAGCGCTTAATGGCACACGCCATACTAGATCACCATCCAAGGTAATCTTTTCAGCATCACTTTCACCACCTGAGAGATGCAGCCCTCCCTCCTCTCCACTGAAGCAAATTTTCAAAGAAGATAACCAAGTAAAGGCAAGACAGCCAATGGGCGAAACTGTATGCTAGGCATCATGTTTTGGACCGTAGGCCCAAAGGTCGGATACATATGGGCTCAATAAGCGAATGCTAATAATAACCTCACGACAAGACCCAAATAAATATAATATTAAAAAAATGGGGAACGGGGAGAGAGAGAGACCGAGAGCTTTGGGCCTTACAAGACGGACCGTTTCAAGTCATCCATCTTAGCTCAAGTATGAACTGGGTCAATCCAAATCGAAGTAAAATTTCGGACGCTGGGCTTTTCTGCTCAGCCCACTATTCCCCTTCCCAACCTAGATTATGTTTAAAAATTCTTACAATATTTATTTTTGTGTATTTAAGAATAAATATTATATCAGATTATGTTAATTTATTACGGAGAAGCTTCTGGACTGGTGCTTCTGCGTTGCTTGTAGTCCATGTGCATCACGGTGAATGGGGATTTTATCTCTCTCTCTCTCCGCCTCATCTGAAGAAGTAATTGGGAATCAAACTAATGTTCCTTCTGTTTGTTTAAATATATCTAGATCAATTCCTCACACCTCCTTCCTTATTGGATCCACACCCAGATGATCCTTGGGCCATCCTCCGCCGTTGGATGGAAAACTAACGACGAAGAGAGATCACTATCTAGGGGTAAAACGGTAAATAAACACCTCCCCGATTCACTGGAGAGATCATCTACTATAGCTTCAGTTCTAAGAAGCTGAAACTGGTTCACTCAAGCTTGTGGCCGTATCGTCGTCCTGAACAACTGCAACCCCGCGAGGACGGCTACGCTGAAATCCTGCCGCGCGGTGAGGCCCCACAAAACTTGCACGAGGACTCTGAGGACGTAGGCGGCGGCCAGCAGCTTCCCCTGGTGCCGGCGTTGGGCTAATAATCTCGGCGCTGCCGACGACGGATGGCAGAGGATCCACACCAGAAGAGCCAAGGCGTAGAGAGTCATGTACGCGATGAACAGGCACCAGGGGACTGCATCCGAAGTAATTAAGATGAGCAGAGATTTCAGTATGTCGAGTGACTCTGATCCTACTTGCAACGCGACTTCCAGCTCGCCGCCGCTGGCCTCCTGCCCGCCTCCATCGTCGTTGATCGGAAGGGCGGCAATGATGACATCCCCCGCGGCCGCGGCCGCCTCCATCATGAGTCTTCCACGCACCCCTACAAGATGGACGAGGGAATTGGGAAGGAGGAGAAGAAGATGGAAGGCAGTATGCAAGGCGGAGTTTGGTCCATATATATAAATGGAATCGGGGGGAGGGGTGGGGCCGTCGGGATTGTCGCTATATTCATCCGCCGGGTGGGGCCGCCACTTTCGTCCCCTCTCCTTTTCGTGGACTGGACTGTGATAAACGATTGTCATAAATTGCATCCCGGTGTGCATTGTGCATTGACGTGACTTAGTCGTTGTATAGAAAATCACGTAAATTTAAAATTTATAAAATTAGAAAATATAATTTTTCAGATATTTAGAAGTATTTCTAAATAAATATATCAATTATAATTCAATAAAATTTCCAAAAATAGCAATAATTTTCCAAATCAATTACAAGGATGTAATATAATATCTAGTAATTTTTTTTATTTTAAAGAATACTATTTTCTATGAATTTTATACTAGTAAATGAAAAGAAAATATATTTAAAATTCACAAAAAAGGAAAATAAGAGTGTGGATGTCAAGATGATGTCAGTATCCGACGAACGTAAATCAGGCAGAAATAAAGTTCCGCCCGGCGATTCTTACATAAGCGATTACAAATGATTTAATTGATCAAATTAAGATCTATAAAAGCCAGAAGAATCGTAATGAAATGAAGTATATCTTGGTAAATTTAAAAGAAATAAATTATCACTAAATAAAATGGAAATTAAGTTGAAAGTAGAAAAATAGAATTTCAGCGTCGCGGCGACAATGTGTCGGCGATGCACTAGAATCCTAAGTGTTCAGGAGGATCGTCATGTAGTGTCTACGGCCTCGAAGGCTGTCCTTAGACAAAGACGATGTGGGCAATCTCTAGATCTCCTTGCGAAGTCTAGAGATCAATGAAGTAGGTCGTCGAATCGTCTCCGACGGCTGTCATCTGGTGGAGTAGAAAAACGGCGACTTTGTGGCTCTTCGACGGTTGTCACCTGACGAAGAGGAGCTGGATGGAGGTGGGTCGTGTGTCAGGGAGCTTCATCCTCAAGTCCGCGTAGCAAGAGGAGGCTCTTCATCACATCTGATATGCTCTCAAGAGATGGCGACTCGTCTCCTAGCAGATCGTCCTCTTCCTGACGACGACTTATTCGTCGATCAATTGAAGATGCTTTACTCGATGGATTCGTGATCCTTTTATCGCGAATCGTTCAGTAATGTTAGTAACAATGCTCCGCGAATCATTTTGATGAGATTTTCACTGATGATCTAGCGAGTCTGGTTGCTTAATCCTTCACCGGCGATCTGTAAGAAAGTCACGATAATCAGTTTAAAAAAATATGAATTTTGGCTTTGGGAGGATTCGAACCCGCGCCTATTGCCCGCCTGTATGAAAGAGATTGAAATAAATACTCTAATGTTCTTATAAAATGACGTCATCATGGTATATCTCGGTCTTTTAGGTATTAAAATCTTTGAACCCTTTGTGGGGAAGGTGTGACGCAGGTTTAGTCCCACATTGTTTGTGCACCGAAGTTTTGGGTGAATATATAGTTTTAGAAGCAAGTCCCTTCTCTCGCGTGTACGACCACTCCTTGTCCCATAGTTGACTAGCCACTAGTGACGTAGAAGGGGAGTGGTGCACACATGCCTCTATCGGTCTAAGCCACTCAAGCTCCTGCTTGCAGCTACTCCCCGATTGTGTTTCCGACCCACTCGCGGGCCCGGCTGGCCGGCAGGTCCCCCTATTTTGTAATATTTTTATATTTATTTATTTTTCTTCATTTATTTTAAAAGTAAGACTATAAAAATTATATAAATTCGTATAAAATCACATAATTACCTAAAAATTCACATTAATCAACTTAAAATGACTTTTCACACTTTAACATAAATATAAGTCTATTTATCACGAGTTAAGGCAAAAACTATATTATTTACTAATTATTAACTCATGATAATGAAGACTTATCATGCGTCTATCTCTGCGCTCCATTAAGCTTACCGCTCCCTCCTTCCTCCTCTTCCTCCTCCCTCGGACGATGGAGCCGAGCGTCATTCTTCCAGTCAAAGATGACGGAGGCGGCAGCGAGGGCAGCAAGTTGACAGTCGCATTCAAACTGTCCTCGGAAGTAGTACAGCTGATCACCGGCACCATGGGCGTGTTTTTGATCGCAGCAGCAGGTACTGTGGGATCAGACCAACACCTCGTGTGGTTGTTCATCACCTACATCACTCTCTTTCTCTTCTCTTTGCTCGTGTGGATCATGTCGAATCTAGAGTCTGCCCTGAGTTTTGCCCAACAACACTCGAGTAAGCTGCTGGCCGCCGCCTACCTCCTCAGAGTCCTCACTCTGGCTTTCCAAGCATGGTGTGGCCTCATCCCGCTGAACCATCTCGGAGCAGCCGTCCCAGCTTTGCTACTCTCGCACCTCTCGGCGAGTTGTGGTAAATAAATAAGTCGTTTGTGTGGCTTGTGGCTTGCATATGTAGAGTATATATGTGTCTTTATTTCTTTTGCATGTGTGCTAAATAAATAATGTTTATTTTGCTTTCTGAAAATAATAACAATAATGTTTCATCGGTTCGTCAGCAGTGAGCAAAGGGCAGATGTGCCATCCAAGGGAAGGTTGGCCCACAATCCTCATTACCATCTAACAGCAACAATTATACAGCCCATACTACACATACTTATTTGCATAACAGGGGATATACCCTAGACTAGACTAGATTAGATAGATTGCATCTTCTTTGTAAACCCCTTTCTCTTTACAAGGGCCAATGAGTGGCAATCGATGAAGAAAGCTGCATAGGAGGGAGAAAAAAACATAAAAATAAATAAAAGAAAAGAGATTCCTCAGCACTCCCTCCCTGTCAAAATCAAATAATCCTAGAATTCATCACATAATAACCCAATTAGGAATATTTGTGTATATGTTTGTGAGAAGATTCAGTACCCAGATGCAAGCGATCATCAGGAGTTGTCAGGAGTTTAGAGCTGTGCAATCTGCAGCCTTAGCCAAGCCAAATGTACACCGGATTTCCCTGTACTATCATTGTAGGCAGAATATATTTGAATGATTAAAAAAATGGAGAGTACTCTTCAATTTTTTCAGCCTGAATTGATTAAAAAATAGCATAGGGAGAGAAACTCTTACCATACTAGTATTTTGGTTAATGTATTTCGACTAATCATCAGGTTTTTGCGCTGACTTCCTCGCCTTCCTTGAAAATTCCTTGACCATGGCCTCGTTGGAAAAGTCAAAGGAATGTCTTCATCCATGACTTCATTCTTAAACAATGTGGCCACAGCCTGCCTACTTTGCTTCAAACTCTCTTCTCTATGGTCAGGCTTTATTTCTTTAGGATCTTCAAGAATGTGTAAGGGTGACTTGGTCATCTTTCATTCAGCAAGGCCCATGTGGGTCACGTCCCTTCTTAGTGGGCTTTCACTTATGATTGTTTTCTGTCTAGAAAATAGTTTAGCCCCTTTTTTGTCACCTGTATTTAAAAGGAGCTCAGGAAGAGAGAAAAAAGAGAGGAAATAGACAAATCTAGGGCACGAGAAACCCAATCCTCTCCAGCAGCTGCAACAAGAGTTACGACATCATCTCCCTCCTATCATCTCTCTCTTCAATTGGTGGCTAGTATTACTACTTCATTAACTTTGTCTTTACTATATTCTAATCCTCATACCTTGTCATTACTCTCTTATCTATTGGTTTACTAGTCATGAGATGTGTTTATCCTCTTTAGACCATAGTAATCAAAGTCCTACTTTATTACAGTCCATTCTACATTTTCACTATCATTTATATATTAGAAAACTTATTATCCTTATACTCTTTAGTTTTCGTTACGCTGACAGACTAGTCCAAGCCTATTAAGATTCAGTTCTAAACACTATTTCCTAACAAACTAGGATCAAAGCTTGGTTAGAGTCTTATTTCAACACAAATAAAGATACAAGATGTCTACTAAGTTTGATATTGAGAAGTTCGACTGAAACATTAATTTTGAAATAGGTAGGTCAAGATGAGAGCCCTCTTGACCCACCAAGGGCTACATAAAGCGTTATTAGGAAAAGAGAAAATGTCAAACACTATGTCTATGGAAATAAAACAAGAATTAAATGAAAAAGTTCTGACTGTGATTCAACTTAGTTTGTCTAATGAGGTTCTGCGTGAGGTCATTCATGAATTTACAACGACTGCACTATAGTCGAAGTTGGAGTCGTTATATATGACCAGATTGCTCACCAAAAAATTATTTCTAAAACAACATTTATTCAAGCTCAAGATGGCAGAAGGTACATCAATCAAAACTCACCTTGATGAGTTCAATTCTATTTTACTAGATTTAGAAAATATTGATGAAAGAGTAAAAGAGGAAGATCAAGCCATTTTTTTGTTATGTTCCTTACCACCATCATATAGGCACTTTTGAGAAACTTTTTTATATGGTAGATATACTATATCTATTGAATATGTTAAATCTTCTTTGTTTTTGAAAGAGTTGATTGACAAAGATATGATTGTTATTTCAGAAGGATAGTAACCTGAAGGTCTTATTGCAAGAGATAGACCTAAGGAGAAAAGTCAAGGAGGAAATAGAGGTGAGTCAATGATAAGTCTTCATTATCATGAGTTAATAATTAGTAAATAATATATTTTTAGCCTTAACTCGTGATAAATAGACTTATATTTGTGTTAAAGTGTGAAAAGTGGTTTTCAGTTGATTAATGTGATTTTTTGGGCAATTATGTGATTTTATACGAATTTATATGATTTTTGTAGTCTTACTTTTCAGATAAATGAAGAAAAAGAAATAAAACTAAAATATTACAAAATGAGGGGACCTGCCGGCCAGCCGGGCCCGCAAGCGGGTCGGAAGCGCAGTCGGGGAGTAGCCGCGAGCAGGGGCTCAAGCGGCTTGAACCGATGATGTGGGCACGTGTGCACCACTCCCCTTCCACGTCACTGGTGGCCAGCCGGCTGTGGGGCA